ATATATATATATATATATATATATATTCTACAGTGGCTGGGAATGTGGCTTAGTGGTAGAGTGTTTGGCCTAGCATGCATGAAGTCCTGGGTTCAATTCCTCACTACCACATACATAGAAAAAGCTGGAAGTGGTGCCATGGCTCAAGGGTAGAGTGCTAGCCTTGAGCAAAAGCAGCTCAGGGACAATGCACAGGCCCTGCCTGAGTTCAAGCCCCAGGACTAGCAAAAATAAATAAACAAACAAATAAATATTCTAGAGTAAAAATTAAACACAAGTTAGATCAGTCAATTCCTAATTTTAGTCATTAGATGTCACCATTAACAAAGTTGTAAATTGGTTATTAGCTTTAGCAAACAAGTAGTATACAAGTCGTAATATATGAGTGTCCTCAATTTATGATTTACAAAGTTCTGGATTTAACTAAAAGAAGATTCAAATAATCTTCTACATAAAATTCTATAACGTGAGGCTGGGAAGGTAGCTCAGTGGTAGAGCAATTGCATGCACGAGGCCCTGGGTTAGATTCCTCAGCACCATATAAGCAAAAAGAAAAAAGCCGGAAGTGGCCCTGTAGAGTGCTAGCCTTGAGCTGAAGAGCTGAGGGACAGTGCCCAGGCCCAGAGTTCAGGCCCCATGACCGGACCCCCCCCTCAAAAAAAAATTCTACAACGCTAGGAAATTTTATGAATATAATCTTATACAAAGAGAAATGTCATTTACAACAATCAACTCAGATAACCAAAACTACAAAATACCATAATCCCCTAAGAAATGTGCCTTTGAAAGAAAAAAAAAAAAAAGAAATGTGCCTTTGAAGCTGGGAGCTGGTGGCTCACACCTGTAATCCTAGCTACTCAGGAGGCTGAAATCTGAGGACCGAGGTTCACAGCCAGTCCAGGCAGAAAAGTCCATGAGACTCTTAAATTCATTTAACCAGAAGTGGTGCTGTGGCTCAAGTGGTAAAGCGCCCACTCACCTTGAGCTGAAGAACTCAGGGACAAGCCCCACAACCAACCAAAAAAAAAAAAATAGTGCCTTTGAAATGATCTTTCAATGTTTGATCAGAAAATCACACTGGAGGTCTGAGTTAAAATTAGTCTTGCCAACAATACCTTTTACCTTTATATAGTGCTTATTTGCAAAGTAAATTCATTTCATATGCTTCTCACAATATTTTTGTGATTAAGTATTCATGCTATTTCATTAAAAACACACAAATCCTAAGGTTAAATGATAAGCCCAAGGTTAAACAAGTTGGTGGGGCAGTCTTCTAACTACCTCAAAGACTTTTCAAAGTTGGGAGATTTCACATTTACTTTTATCTTCATGTAGAATTCCTAAACCTAGATTGGTAACTTTTTTTTTTTTGGGGGGGGGGTTGGGGAGGGGACAGGTCCTGGGGCAGTCTCCTGAGTAGCTAGGATTACAAACATGAGCCACTGGCACCCAGCTTAAACTTTGTTTTTTTAAGTTTATATAGTTTATAAAGTTTCATAGCAGGCTGAAATTAGTAAGCCACACTCTTTTAACTGAGCTAGCTGTCTTACCATAGCCTTCTGGTAGGTCTGGAGGAGTATGCAAATGTGTCCTGCTCATATAATTTCTATGTCGTTGAGACCTGACCCTCCTCTCAGCCAGTCTGGGATCTGAAGACTGTCCACATGTTGCACCATTTGTTCCACTAATTGGAGTGTTCTCATCAACAAAGCAGCTCAAAGGTCTGCCAGGACTAGAATATTCAGATGCTGGTCTATTAAAGAGTAATAAAAAAAATCAATTTAGATATATAAAAAGAATTCACTAGACATACATTATCATTATAGTAAGAGTAAGAATCACTTATGTCAGAAAATGGAAGAACTAATGCATGATTTCAAGAACTGTAGTAAAATCAAGTCCAACTAGGCACCAAGGAAACCCAAGCAATAAGCAGGTTAATCATATCTTACTTTGTAAGCCAGTTCTGGAGCTTGAACTCAGAGCCTCTCACTCTCTCGATTCTTTTTAAGTAGTATTATATTAATTCTAACTGTATTTTACAGAAGATCCATACATATTTGAAGATGTGAGTACTGGTTTACAAAGCATAACTTGAGCCGGGTGCCAGTGGCTCATGCCTGTAATCCTAGCTACTCAGGAGGCTGAGATCTGAGGATGGTGGTTCAAAGCCAGCCCTGGCAGGAAAGTCCGTGAGACTTTTATCTCCAATAAACCACTAGAAAACCAGAAGTGGCGCTGTGACTCAAGCATTAGAGTGCTCGCTCGCCTTGAGCTGAAGAGCTGAGGGACAATACCCAAGCCCAGAATTCAAGCCCCAGGACCGACAAAATAAATAAATAAATAACTTGACCCTTAGATTCAATTTCCCACCATTCTCCTTCCCATTCCGCTTCTGCCACACTGATAACCTTCCAGTCATTTTCACTTGTATTAATTAGAAATGGCACTTTGTTTCCACCAAAATACTTATTCTTATGTCATTCAAATAATAGTTTACACAAACATTGTCTCTGTAGGATGTTCTTTCAATCTTTCAATCTAAACAGGTCACCCAGTCAAGTCATTTAACAGTACAGATGGTCACCAACTTAAATGACATATTTTAGTGTATAATATTGTCAGTGATCAGTTATGAGTAGGAACTGTACTTCAACTTTTTATATTTTCCCAGGCTAATAGTGATATAGTATGATGGATACTCTCCCAGTCAGACACATAATCATGAGGGTACACAATAGATACTCTACAGTAGTCTACATTGTGAAGGTAAAGGCTAAGCATACTAAACAAATGTTTGACCCACAGCATTTCCGAATTATGATGTGCTTATTGGACAGAGCCTCAATCATAAGTTGAGAATCATCTGTACACTACCTATCCACACTAAACAAATGTTTGACCCACAGCATTTCCAAATTATGATGTTTTTATTGGACAGAGCCTCAATCACAAGTTGAGAATCATCTGTACACTGCCTATCCACAGCATAGTATCTCTCTGATGTTTTTTCTGCTTATTTTTTTGTGGGTTTTGTTTTTTGCTTGCAAATTCTGGAGTTTGACCTCAGGGCTTCACGATTGCTAACAAGTACTCTACCACTTCAGTAGTACACCTAAACCCACCCTTTTTCGGCAGTACTGATGTTTGGATTTAGGGCCTGTGCTTGTTAAGCAGGCTCTCTAGCACTGTGAATCATGCCCCCATCTTTGTTTGCTTTGGCTAGTCTTTAAATAGGTTTTGCTAAGTTTTTGTCCAGGCTGTCCTTGAACATCAGTCTTCCCAACTCCCTCTCCAGGGTAGCTAGGATTACAGGGATCAACCACTGAGTCCAATTTTACACACTTTTCTCCATCTTCCTCCACTGAATTATTTAGTAAAAAAAAAAAGGGGGGGGGATTTAAGCCAGGTGCTGGTGGTTCACGCCTGTAATCCTAGCTACTTAAGAGGCTAAGATCTAAAAATCACCATTCAAAGCTAGCCCAAGCAGTAGAGTCCATGAGACTCTTATCTCCAAAAAAAAAGTACCAAAAAAGCCAAAAGTGGAGCTGTGACTCACATGGGAGAGTACTAGTTGAGGGAAAAAAAAAGCTTGGGACAGAGGCCACACTCTGAGTTCAAGGCCTAAGACCAGCACAAGAAAAAAAAGGGGGGGGGGATTTACCTTGCTTGTTCTTTAATATAAGTATGTCCATTACTCCATGCATGACACACATGTAAGAAAAGCTCAAAGTTTATTGAGTAACACAGTAGCTACTTTGTGTCTTTAAGGAGTTTTCAGGCTACTGTAGATTTTATGGAGAGTTTTCTTTCCAACTTAATTTCACTTTGAGTTAACACACATTTACACCTTTGGGGGGGGGTTGCTGTGATATGATTTTGATTTTTAGAGGCAGGATCTATTTATATAGCCCAGCTAGTCTCAAACTCACCATCCTTCAACCTTAGTCTTCTGAGTATGTGTTATAGACATTTTCACCATGTCTTTTTTTTGTCAGTCGCGGGGCTTGAACTCTGGACATGGGCGCTGTCCCTCAGCTCTTCAGCTCAAAGCAAGTATTCTACCACTTGAGCCACAGTGCTACTTGTGGTTTTCTGGTGGTTAACTGGAGATAAGAGTCTCATGGACTTTCCTACCAGGGCTGGCTCTGAACTGCGATCCTCAGATCTCAACCTCCTAAGTAGCTAGGGTTACGGGCATGAGCCACCAACGCCCGGCTATCAGGTCTGTCTTAAGAGTTCATTTTTAGCCAGGCCTTGGTAGCTCATGCCTATAATCTGAGCTACTCAGGAAGCTGAGATCTAGGATCCTGAGTTAAAGCCAGCCCAGGCAGAAAGTCTGTGACATTCCTATCTCCAATCTCCAATTAAACACCTGAAAGTAGAGATGTGGCTGAAGTGGTAGAACACTAGCCATGAGCAAAAAAGCTCAGGGACAGTACCCAGGGCCTGAATTCAAGCCCTAGAACTGGCACCAAAAAAAATTTTTAAGTTCATTTTAAACATTTATAATAATTTTACATATGTAAGTTTATATTATCAGTTTAATGAATTAGAAGGAAAACACCCAAACACATGTTCTTTTTTAAAAAGACAAAGAAGAATTAAGGCAGTTATCCTATTTATTCTGAATTACTTTAAAAGCACCTTTTCAATTTCCAAAAATTATCTGCATCTGATGTCTTTATACATTAATCTTCAAAGGAAGAAACTACCTTTCATTCTTTAAGGTTTAGTTCACAGAATTACCTACTCCACAGTTTTCTTTTGCAAGTTCCATCATCTCCTTACTGCTTACCCTCAGTTAAGTGCCATCTCTATGGTTCTTATCCTGATCACAGGCATAACTTAGACATGATATAATCATCCCCTATTTTTGACTCCAAGAATGGAAGCCCCCTGTATATATTTGATAACAGCCACCCAAGAATATTCAAATCAAATGTATATAAATAAAAATACAAGCCGGGCACTGGTGGCTCACACCTGTAATCCTAGCTACACAGGAGGTTGAGATCTGAGGATTCCAGTTCAAAGCCATCCCGGGCAGAAAAGTCCGTGAGACTCTTATCTCCAATAAACTACTCGAAAACCAGAGGTGGTACTGTGGTTCAGGCGGTAGAGCGCTCGCCTTGAGCTAAAGAGTGCAAGGATAGCGCCCATGCCGAGTTCAAGCCCCACAACAGACAAAAAAATAGTAATAAATAAATAAAAATACATAGTATATAATGCATAAATAAAATGAATAAGAACATGTCATATAAGTATTTATATACGCTCTATCATATATATTACTGACATACACACACAGCCAGTAATGCGAAGGCTCAACCTATTCACTTAACTGACTTAATATTGGGTGCCACTAAGGACCCTAGAGGTTACTATAGCACGAAGCCTGTCAAAACAATCTTTACTGATAATCACTTTTTTTTTGGTTGGTCATGGGGCTTGAACTCTGAGTCTGGGCACTGTCCCTTAGCTCTTTAGCTCAAAGCTAGAGCTCTATTACTTGAGCCATAGTGCCACTTTCGGTTTTCTAGTGGGAGATAAGAGTTTCACAGACTTTCCTGCCCAGGCTGGCTTTGAACTGTGATCCTCAGATCTTAGCCTCCTGAGAAGCTAGGATTACAGGCGTGAGCCACTGGCACTCGGCAAATCACATTTTAAATACAACAATGGCCCCTGTTCTAGGATCTAATGATTTATATAGGGGCATAAATCAAGGCAGGAAATCCAGTAGTGACAAATAGGAAGGTAATCCAGGAAGATGGCAAGCACAACCTATGGGAAATACCTGTATGTTCTTACCGTGTTGGGCGCTCCCATTGCGTAGTTCTTGTTATATGGTTTAGATACTGAATTCTACCAGAGGCTGTTCGTCTTTCTTCCCAGCTTAAATAAAAAATATTGTGAGATAAGCCATTAATAAGTATTTATAGAAAGATGAGACATGGAATGCTTTTAGTGTGTTTACTAAACGAGGAAAGTATTGCTGTCACAAATCTGGTAGGCCAGATCAAAAGATCAAGTCAGCTTATTTTTGGACTGCAAAATGTTTTATGGAATTCTGAACCTCTAAAATATTTACACTGAGGTACAACAAGCATTATTCATTAGCCAAACTTTAGAGAATTTTTCAATAATCCTGGTAACTCTAAAATTTACATCAATATTCCCCAGAATTTTGGGGGAAATGGCTCTCTTAAAAAGATCTGTAACCCTGGATGCCAGTGGCTCAAAGATACAACCCTACCTATTCTGGAGGATAAGATCTGAGGATCATAGTTCAACATGTCCAGGCCATGAGTTCAGTACCAGTTACTGGCACAAACCAATAAATGAATGTATATATGCATTCCTTCTGTGCATCCATGTGCTTGTATTTGCGTGCGCTCATGTGCTCACAGTTGAGCACGATGGTATACATCTATAGTTGGGATGATTGTAGTTCAAGGCCAGCCCACTGAAAATGTTAGTCATCTCAACAAAAATGCCAGCTACATGGGAGGCTTAGGTAGGTGGAGGGCAACCCAAGGCTGACTGTCAAAACTCAAGACCCTATCCAAAAAAACAAAGAAGTAAAACAAGGCTAGGGATATGATTCAAATGGCAGAGTATCTGGCTAGCAAGCATGAGGCCCTGAGTCCAAACTCAGTACTGTCAAAAATAAAATATATGAAATTACACAAATGAGCCAAGGTCTTAAAAAAATAAGTAGAAGACTAGGATTAGAATCCAGTTGGTCTAAAAATAAAAATCATCATTTAAAAAAATTAAGATTCATTAGAAAAGTGCATTTCTAAAATTTTTTTTTCCAGTTCTAGGGCTTACACTCAGTCCTGGGCACTGTTCCTGGGCTTTTGTATTCAAGGCTATTACTCTACAACTTGAGTCATAGATTCACTTCCCACAGTTTAGTGTTTAATTGGGGTCAAATTTTCCTGTCCAGGTCAGTTTCAAAGCTTGATTCTCAGATCTTAGGCTCCTGAGTAGCTAGAATAACATGAGCCCAGGCACACTGAACAAGTATTGCAGTAGTACTGAGTAGACACTGTGCTGAAACTGAACTATACCACTGTGAGCAAAGGACAGGAGGGGAAACTAGAAGAGAGTGAAAGAAGGAATGACATTGTCCAAAAGGAAATATACTCATTGCCTAATTTATGAAATGGTCACCCTTCTGCACATCACCTTAATAGTAACAATTTTAAATTTTGGGGGGGAAAAAGCAGCCTATCGAAACAATATTTTTTTTTTGGGTCCAGTCGTGGGGCCTGAACTCTGGGCCTGGGCGCTGTCCCTCAGCTCTTCAACTCAAGGCTAGCGCTCTACCACTTGAGCCACAGTGCCACTTACAGCTTTTTTCTTTTTGCTTATGTGGTGCTGAGGAATCGAATCCAGGGCCTCAGGCATGCAAGGCAAGTGCTCTACCACTGAGCCACCTTCCCAGCCCCGAAACAATATTTTTTTTTTTTTGGCAGTCTTGGCACTCAGGGCGTAAGTGTTGTCCTCCTTTTGCTCAAGGATAGTGCTCTACTACTTGAACCACAGGTCCATTTCTAGCTTTTTTGGTAGTTTATTGGAGATAAAAGTCTCATTGTCTTTCCTACCCAGGTTGGCTTCAAACCATGATCCTCAGATCTGACCCTCCTATGTAGGCTGTAACAGGCATGAGGCAAGCCAGGCACCAGTGACTCGAACCTGTAATCCTAGCTTATCAGAAGGCCAACATATGAGGATTACAGTTCAAAGCAAGTTCAGGCAGATTCTTATTTCATCAACAACTCAAAAACTAGAAGTGAAGCTATGGTACAAAGTGGTAGAGCAGTAGTTGAGCAAAAGAGCTCAGGAACAGCACCCAGGCCGAGTTTAAGCCCTACAACCGACATTCCCCTCTCCCCCCAAAAAGGCATGAGTCAAAGGCAACCAAGTGAAATTAATATTTTGGGGGGGAATGATGGCCCCAGGGCTTGCCCAAGGCCTGGACATTGTCCCTGAGCTTTTGTGTTCAAGGTTAGTGGTCTACCACTTTGAGCCACAGTATAATTTCCAGCTTTTTTTTTTTGGTCGGTCGTGGGGCTTGAACTCTGGGCCTGGGTGCTGTCCCTCAGCTCTTCAGCTCAAAGCGAGCGCTCTACCACTTGAGCTACAGTGCCACTTCCGGTTTTCTGGTGGTTTACTGGAGATAGGAGTCTCAC